GAGAAACGGGGCGGGGATGGACCGGGACAGAGTTGGAACTTCCTTCTCCCGGGGCTCTGGGGGCTTTGGGGTCCAGCCGGGAAAGGCCAGTGGAAAGGAAGCTCCCCAGCGGGGTGTTCCCATTCCCACCGCTAGGGCGTCGCCTGGGAAAACGCGGCGCGCCCTGGGCGGACAGGTAGGGCGGCAGGGACCGGACCTGCCCGGTGAGGACCCCAGGGGAGGATCCCGGCGACTGCGGGGATTCGTAAACACACAGCACGGGGCCTGCAGCTGGCCCTCCCTGACGTCTGATCTTCCACGTCCAGGGTGTTATTTTTGTTGTTTCTCAACCTGACCTCTAAGATTGCTATCCTGTTGAAAGCACACCTGTGACCCTGTGACCTATCTAATGGTGGCAGGATTAAGCTTGCCCTATCTTCAGGGGCATCTTTCTTTCTTACTTTCTTTTCGCCTGTAACTGCTGTGGCATGAGGACTGGACAATAATATGTCTGAAGACAATCTATAAATTAAGAATCAAATGATAGATCTTATTCACCTCTTGGAAATGCGGAATAAAGGGACCACAGACGCGGCTGCACGCTTGTTTGTAAGGTTTAGTTCCCACGTGAATGCTCTTTAGATGAGTCTTTACACCTGACAAACAGGTACATTCGCATATCTTTATATGATCGTAAGTGTCCATTGTTGCATTGTGCAAGCCATTTTTGATGGGTCCAAAAACTTGCTTTCAAAAAAATAACGTGAAATTAACTAAGGAATTAACTTTAAACTACAGTTTAAAAATAAACATTTAAACAAATTGCTGTAGAGAGGTTAGGTGAAAGAGGTTAGGTGAAAGAGGTTAGCCTATAAGAGGCCTCTAATGTGGTATTAGCATCGAGTAACAAATCTGTGTTAGCCATTTAACCCCAGGATAACATTTGGTAGGTGGGGAAAATTAAATTAATATTTAGAATCAATGCTGGACTAAATGCTCCTTTAGTTATTCATTATTGTAGCAACAAAAAAAATGGCTGAAACTAAGTAACATATTAAATACCAAGTAATATGCCATTTGTCTATTATAGTCCGTCAGTAATTATTCCTTCCTATGCAGAATATATTCCTTTCAGTGTATCTTTACATAAAATGTGGTTTGTTTAGATTACAATATTAGAACCATAGGGGGGAAAAAGTTGTGTTTTAATATTTAACCTAATATTGATCAAATCAGTTCATTTCAATGTGCGTGGCTTTTAGTCTTCCAAACCAACTCAGGTTAAACAATTTCATGAATCATTTATGGCTCTAAATGACTAGTTGCTTGCACAGAAAATAATGCAAACATTGAGTAACAGTGAAACTACTTAAAGTCTGTAACTTTCAATCACAAGATCAAGATTAAACCTTAATTGGTTTCAACCTTGATTTATGACATGCTAGTAATATTGTTGACTGTATTAATTTAATCTGAAACATAATACACTTTCCTAACATAACATACAACTGAAGGCATTTTCAGGCTCTCCGATTTTTCCTGTCCTCTTTCTGGTTTTATGGATAGGGAAGGTTTACACTCCTCACCCCACTGAAATTACCTTTAGCAGTGTAACTTGTTTTTGTAAATAATGTGAGCAGACGTGAAATGTTTCATGTCCTGGTGGAATCACTTAAGGGTCAGTGCTTGACTCTATGCTCTTTTCCCTGGCTGCAGCAATCATGGAAGTGCACCGTAAGAAGGAGGCAGCAAAGAACTGAAGGATCCCGGAATGCTAAATTATTACCCTGCACAACTGCGCAGGAGAGTCCCAGGAACTACAACAGAATCTGCATAAGCAAGAAATAAACTTGTGTTGGGTTAAGCCGCTAAAATACTGGAGTGGCTGTTGCCCATCATTGCGTAGCCTACCTCATGTACACAGTATTCCTCCCTTATCTGAGGTGGTGCTTTGTGGTTCCAGTTTCCCATGGCCAATGACAACCAGAAAATGTTAAATGGAAAAATTCTTAGAAATAAACAAACTTTAAATTAACTATATTACGAATAGTGTGATGAAATCTCCAAAATCCAGCTCCATCCCATTCAGATATGAATCATCTCCTTGACCAGTGTCTCCACACTGTATAAGCTCCCCATCCTGTGGTCATGCTGTAGCCATATCAGTCAGAGTATGGCAGTGGTTGTGTTCAAGTAACCCTTGTTTTACTGAATAATGGCCCCAAAGCATAAGAGAAAAATATCTTCAAATTCTATAAAAGAGAAGTGATGCTGTCAATTCGTATATGCCAAAGAAAACCAGTAAAGTGTTTCCTTTAAGTGAAAAGGTAAGAAAAAATAGTCTATATAGAGTTTGGTTCTGCCTTGAGTTTCAGGCATTCGCTAGGAATTGTAGAATGTATTCCCTATGCATAAGGGGGAACTACAGCACAACCATATCGGTTTTAACCTCTGAATTCCCTGACTCCATAAGAACTATTTATGACAATCAGTGACCCCTTTATTTGGAATGTTCTAAAACATGGTTTTCCATCTGGCAAGCATAAGGCTATTTTCCTCTCAATATATTTTGATTTGGATTAAGTATTGCCTCATAGCTCCAGGCATGATTCTTAAGCAGGTTATAAATTTTGTAATCTCACTGCTATAGAACTGGGTGAGCTATTGCTAACACTATTTCAACACCCAAGACTTTCCTTCCAATTTTTCTGAAAGATCTCACCTTTTTAAACAATGTTACAGGGAGTTGGAAGAATTTAAGAAGTTGGTTGAACATGTTAATGGTAGTTTCAGAATACAATTCTTCCATTAGTGAATTACGTGTTTCATTTGAAGTTGGCTATAGGAGTCTAGCAAAAAACAATAAATTGCTTAGTTATTCCAGCATCAACATGTCTTTCAAAGTCAAATCAATTCAGTGAAGTGAGTCATTTTACAATGATCATAGTTTTATTTGTGGGAAATTATAATCCCATATTTGAAGGAAAATTTGGAAAATTTGTAATTTTTAGTTTCATCATCAGTAAGAAGGTGATAAATTAGTATAATAGTCTATGTTGCAAGGTTTGAATTATGAATACATATAACAATTGTACTCTATTTTTAAAAAAAGTCTAACTGTAACAGATACATATCATACAATGTTATCTCTGAGAAACCCTTTGGAGGTTTTCTGTTCACACTATCCATTCCATGTATTAGAAAACTGAGAAGTATAAATAGGATTGTCAGATTTAGTAAATAAAACTACATCATACCCAGTTAAATTTGAATCTCAGATAAACAATGAATACTTTTTTGGGCATAGGTATGTACCATGTAATGTTTAATTATACTAAAAATTATTTGTTGTGTAGCTGAAATTCAAATTTAACTGGGCATGCTGTATTTTATCTGGCAACTTTACTCACAGAGGATAATTCTTTTTAAAGGGCATGTAGCTAACTATGTGCTGATGCAGGAATAAAATCAGAACAATTTAGTGTTTACAGACCACTCCAAGAGATTAAGTCCTATGGTAGCATGTTTTAGAAAAAATAGCCATATTTCATAACCGTCATTTCATCAGAAACTAAAACCAGTCTCATCACTTAAAATGGCAACCTTTGAATCTATTGACTCTAGTTACCAATCTCTGAATTACTTTATTTTCTCAGAATCTGAAAAGCGTTCACATTTAAAAATCAGCTTTGATTTTTAAATTTTCTTTTTTGATATTTGCTAAAACATGAGTAGCTCAATTGGTCATCACTGTTAGCCAGAACTGAATAGCAGCTATTCCTAAGGCATATTTTCTTAAAATTAAAGTAATTTTTAAAATCTTAGCTAAGAAAAAATAAGAATTAGAATCCTTTAGAATCATCCTATAGCTTTATTCTGATCTAAACTTGATGTTGTAGATTGTTGTCACTTATTTTATATTTTTACGACCACAGCTACCTTTATTCATTTTTGTGTGTAACTGAAACAAATCCAACACTTTAACCCTGAAGTGCTAGTATATTAACCAGTCTCAGTTCCAGAGTGGGAGACGGGGATCGCTTTGGGGCCTTTATGGAAATGGAGGCAGGGGCCCTGAGTTGGTCATCAAAGTTCTTAGGCCTCTCCATTTCTCTTTGAGTAAATTTTTTTCCCCACATAAATTTCTAATTTAATTATTTTATGTAAGTTTTCAAAATTATTGACATAAAGTTGATAATAACATTCCATTTGTTTAGTCTCTATAAGAAAGTTATACATGGTATTATTCATTACAAATGCATTTATTTATGTTTTCCCTCCTTTTGATCTGTGAAAGTAGGCCCCAGGAAAAGGTCAAGTTGGGGTTAGAAGTCAATGTATCAAGAAAGTTATAGAGATGATACCTGCCCTGAGGGGGAAGTTGGATGAATGTTTTAGATTCCCTCCAAATCTAACAATCTTTGTTTTTGAAAGCTGTGTTATTTAGCAAGAGTAGTAGTTGTAGCTAACTCCGAATTGTGACTTCCTTTTATTCAAGTATTCCTTAGAAATATAAAAAATATCCGTGATCAAAAATAAAATATCTTAAAGTTCAATAAAATAGATTTTATTAAGAATGTAAACTACAAACCTGGTGCCTTCTGGCAAGCCATAAAGAAAGAGAAGTTCTCTTATTAATGTTATAGTAATAATATGTTTGATATTTGTTATATTTATTAGTAAGGTAGTTAGAACTCTATATATTTTAAAGATGTAATTAATTCTTGTGGCATGCATATAAGTCAAAGTGAAGGCATAATTATTCTTATTTTAAAGATAAATAAAATGAAGCTCAAATTTATAATGGGGTTACCCCAAGGACACACAATAGGGAAAGGGTAGTGCTGAAGTCTGCACATTCTTTTTTTGTTTTTGTTTTGTTTTAAATCCTCACCTGAGGATATTTTTCCATTGATTTTTAGAGAGAGTGGAAGAGAGAGAGATAGAGAGAAACATCCCTAGGCCAGGGAGGAGCCTGCAACCAGGGTACATGCCCTTGACTAGAATCAACCCCGGGACCCTTCGGTCCGCGGGCCGAAGTTCTATTCACTAAACCAAACCGGCTGAGGCAGACTTTCCCGAGTGCTGTCTTTCACCAACAGAAACAGTTGCACAGAGAAGGCTTTGCTGCTGCCTCCAGATTGTACGTCCACTTCTACACTGCGGGCTGTAGATTTCCTTGCCCAGTACTTCAGTCCTTCGCAGGACTACACTGTATCCACTGAGCCAAACTAGCTAGGGCAAAATCTGCACATTCTTAGTAAAGAATTAGCTTACCTTAATACCAAGGACTATTTTATAATATATATATATTAGAGGCCCGAAGATAGAAACATCAGTGATGAGAGAGGATCATTGATTGGCTGTTTCCTGCACACCCTCTACTTGGGATGAGCCTACAACCGGGATATGTGCCCTGACAGGAATAGAACCAATGACCTCCTGGCTCATAGGTCAATACTCAACTACTGAGCAATACCAGCCAGGCACCATGAACTATTTTTAAATTACTTAAAGAATATAGCATTATCTTCAGTTATTTCAATATTGAATTAAGATTATTATAATTAATAAGTAATGACTATAAAATAATAAAATAGGGTAAAAGTGGATTGAAATATTCTTCAAATTTCTCATAAAAATAATTGACTATACCAGAATGGCATTATTCAAAAGCACTGTTTTATAAGTATAATATGCAAATAGCTTAAAGACCCTTAATTCTTAAAATAGATTCAAAATCAACTATATATTTTGAAATCCTTTCAGAAAGGATAACTGGATAAATCATTTCTTTAAAAACTTCATCAAAATGCTCTTCATTTTTGTCATATTATTTGTCTTGATAAGTAAATGTATTAGACTGGGAAGCTCTTAAAACAACAGCTAGCCCTAGCTACTGTGCTCAGTTGGTTGGGTTTATCCCATATTCACTGGTTTGATTCCGGATCAGAGCACATGTCCAGAAAACCATGGATGTTTCTTTCTCCTCTCTCTCTCTCTCTCTCTCTCTCTCTCTTCCTCCCTCTCCCTCTAAAAATCAATAAAAATGTATTAAAAAACAAAACAAGAGCTGAGTGGTGAATGGGAACACTTATAGGGTCTGATAACTTTTTATGTTAGTAGTAGATACATTTTGTTTTATTTAACATTTCATTATATTTATACATTTAGTTTCATTTATACATTTAGTACTATTATAATCATATATTTACTATTTCATATTATACATTTACTATTTACTTATAGTTATTATTTATTTATGTTCACTATTTGCATTTAACAGAAGTATAATAATAAAAATTACTATCCAGACCTAAACAAAATACACTATTTGGTACTTGGTAAATGCCTGCTATAATGATTTAGTCCAATAAATACATCAAGATTCAAATACAATTTTGACAAAAATCCTGAAGGGTCACTATTCTAATCTCAATTTTGACTCTCAAAGAGGTAAGATAGCATGCCTAAACAGAGAGACAGCGAGAATATTTAAATATAAATAAAAATGTTTACTTTGTGATTGGCCACTAATTATGTTAATAAAACCTTGCTTAAAGCAGAGGGTAAAGAAGTATCTGGCTACTGAATTTAATGATTCTGTGACATTTCTAGCATTTGGTTTTTATCAGTGGCAGAGGATCTCATTCTTGGCTGGCAGCATAATCGCTTGGTGTTCATGTCAAAAATATTGATTCCTAGCCTTCCTCTCCTCTCCCACTTTGCCCCTTCAGCCTAAGGTAAAGTACAACTCAAATATGAGGACCTCAAGGATAAGCCATAATAAAAAAATATTTAAAAATCTTTTATTGCCCCTCGTTTATCTCTGCTGGTACAGAAATTGGGAGATTCCTAGCTGTAGATAGAATTCTTAACGATGTCAATGTTCCTAGTGCTTAGCTCAGATGTTAGTGTACATAAGGTTCATTGTACGTTTATTGAATTGATTAAGTGGTGATGGGGGGGGAGGGAATAAAATGAAAAAAGATTCCTGCCTTCTAGCAGCTTTCTTCCTCTCCTGGGCGTAGTGAG